CTGGTATATATAGGTACCTACTAGGTAGTGATTAGATGTGTTGGTATGCTTGTCTTTTATGTAATTTTGCACGTAAATTGTAATCCCTTATTCCGTAATTAATTATACGAATTATTGCCCAAGAATTTCTTTTCTACCCTCAGTTGTGTTAACAGATATACAATTTTTACAGATGTCTGACCAATGTACATATTTTCATTTTGTATTAGTCACATATTTGGTTCCCCCCGTATCTCTTGGTATAGAGACACCTCAGTAGGGTGTGGCGGGATATCGAGCTGTACCAAAAGTTCCAACAGGGTTCAAGGCGCACGCTAGAGTTTAGAAGCCCCCATTTCTACAGTATATAAGTTGGTTGCCTATATGTGCACTTCAGTCCCTTTACTGTTATCTTTATTGTAGATCCATCTTTTTCTTTAATGAAGCCTATGTGAATGTAGTCATCATATCCTACGACATACTAAAGCTCAGCAGAGTGATCAGGGCATGAGAATTGCATTTATTCTGATGCAAAATTGAAACTAAGCATGGATAAGCCACCTGGCAAGCGGGATGGCGAGTCTTCAGAGAAAGCCGCAGCAGAACCTGATGCAACCTACCCGCCGGTCGCTGAACGCGATGTTCTGAAATCGCGCCGCGATGGTAATGAAGAAAGCAATAACGGCGTCCTCACGCTGCCGAAATTGCCTCATCACGAATCAACTCTTGCCGGCTTAAAATTAGATGAGGCGCAGATCATCAAGGCTCAGCTTGACTCACCCAATGTCGGCGTAAACTATTTAATGCTTTATCGTTATGCAGACGTTTGGGATTGCCTCATTATCGCCATCAGTGCTCTTTGCGCTATTGCTGCTGGTGCTATACTTCCTCTATTATCTGTATGTAGAATACTAAAGTGATTCCCACCTTCATCCCTCTCTCTTTGTTTGTTTACTGACCGGAAGTAATTTGCGCAGATTCTGTTTGGGCAATTAACATCAGCATTTCAGAAGATTTCTCTCAATGCTATAGCATATCATGATTTTGAGGCGCAATTAAATAAGAATGTTCTGTACTTTGTCTACATCGGCATTGCTGAATTCGCAACAGTCTATGTCTCGACTGTCGGGTTTATATACACTGGGGAGCATATCACTCAAAAGATTCGGCAAGAATATCTCAAAGCTATTCTTCGTCAGAATATTGCCTATTTCGATAATCTTGGAGCTGGTGAGATTACTACACGCATAACCGCCGACACGAATCTCATTCAGGATGGGATATCTCAAAAGATTGGCCTTACTCTCACAGCAATTGCCACATTCATTACTGCATTCATCATTGCCTACGTTAAATATTGGAAACTGGCCCTCATCTGTACATCAACAATTGTATGCTTGCTACTGATCATGAGTGGAGGTTCTCATTTCATTATTCATTTCAGTAAGCTGTCATTTCAAAGCCTTGCCAACGGCAGCACTGTTGCCGAAGAAGTCATAAGCTCTATCCGAACGGCCACCGCGTTTGGAACCCACGATAGGCTCGCACGGCAGTATGATTCGCATTTAATAGCAGCTGAGAGATCCGGTATCAAAATGCAGATCATCCAAGCGATCATGATCGGCTCTCTTTACGCTATCATGTTCTGGAACTATGGTCTTGGATTTTGGCAAGGATCGCGCTTTCTAGTCAGTGGGGAGGCTGACGTTGGTCAGATCTTGACCATCCTGATGGCTATTCTCACCGGTTCTTACTCACTAGGAAATGTCGCTCCGAACAGCCAAGCTTTCAATAGCGCTGTGGCTGCCGCAGCCAAGATATACGGCACTATTGATCGCCAATCGCCTCTTGATCCGGCGGCTGAAGACGGAGTAACGCTCCAACATGTTGAGGGTACCATTGAACTACGAAACGTAAAACACAGATATCCTTCTCGGCCTGATATCCTTGTGATGGATGACATAAGTGTACTCATTCCAGCTGGTCGTACAACTGCACTTGTGGGACCTTCTGGCTCTGGGAAGAGCACTATCATCGGGCTGGTTGAACGATTTTACAATCTTGTAGGCGGCGAGATCCTCCTGGATGGGCATAATATACAGTCCTTTAACCTTCGGTGGCTTCGTAACCAAATCTCGCTCGTTGGACAAGAGCCTGTCCTTTTTTCTGCCACGATTTTTGAAAATATAAAGTTTGGTCTGACCGGCACTCCATTTGAGAATGAGCCTGAAGAAGCGAAACAAAACCGGATTGAAGAAGCAGCGAAAATGGCCAACGCACATAAATTTATTACTTCTCTGCCGGATGGGTATGGCACGAATGTTGGAGAACGAGGCTTCCTGCTCTCAGGCGGCCAAAAACAGCGAATTGCTATTGCTCGTGCGATCGTTGGGGACCCGAAGATTCTATTACTGGATGAAGCCACGTCGGCGCTAGACACCAAATCTGAAGAAATCGTACAAGCTGCTCTTGACAAAGCTGCCGAGGGGCGCACTACTATCACAATTGCACATCGACTATCCACCATCAAAACGGCCGATAATATTGTCGTCGTAGTTGGTGGTAAGGTTGCGGAACAAGGGACTCACGAAGATCTACTCTGCGCAAAAGGCGAATATTTCAAGCTCGTGGAAGCCCAGAAGTCTGGTGACCTTAAAGAAGCACAACACAAGAAAAAAGAGTTTGTGGAAGAAGAAGAAGAAGCTACGGAATCCGGTATTTCTATAGACAATATTTACAGGGTTCCAACATCTCGAAGCGGAGTATCCGAGATGATGACATACAACGAAAAGTCAATGGCAACACCCAGGCATCAAAATCTGGCCGATGAATCGACCGTCTCTCAGACTAAAAAGACGACTGAGGCTGAAAATTATCTCTTACCATGGAGTTTGATCAAGTTCACCGCGTCTTTTAATCGGCCTGAGCTCATATTGATGATCATTGGCCTTGCCTTTGCAATTTTGGCTGGCTGTGGCCAGCCCTCTCAAGCAGTTATCTATTCCAAGGCGATCAATACACTGGCACTGCCACCGCCCCTTTACGAAAAACTTAGGCAGGATGCCAATTTTTGGTCTCTCATGTTATTTATTCTCGGTATTGCCCAATTTGTCCTCTTTTCTATACAAGGCGTTTGTTTTGGAGTCAGCTCAGAAAAGTTACTTCGCCGCGCTAGGAGCAAAACTTTCAGGGTTATACTACGACAAGACACTGCTTTTTTTGACGAACATACTACTGGTGCTCTGACATCCTTTCTCTCCACGGAGACTAAATACCTGTCAGGTATCAGTGGAGTAGTACTGGGCACTATTCTAATGGTATCGACGACGCTGACGGCCTCAATGGTTGTTGCCCTAGCCATTGGATGGAAACTGGCTTTAGTATGTATCTCCATAGTGCCTGTACTCTTGTTTTGTGGCTTTTACAGGGTCTCGATACTTGCTCGATTCCAAGCCCAGTCCAAGAAGGCCTACGAAAAGTCCGCCAGCTACGCTTGTGAGGCAACCTCGGCCATCCGCACAGTGGCTTCGCTCTCTCGTGAAGACGATGTTTTCGCCACCTACAAAGCCCAGCTAGATGATCAAGCACGAGCTCATTTTTTCTCCGTGCTGAAGTCCTCGGTCTTTTATGCGTTATCACAAGCACTTACCTTTTTTTGCATGGCCTTGGGATTCTGGTATGGTGGCACACTGCTCGGCAAGCACGAGTATACCATTTTCCAATTTTTCGTCTGCTTCAGCGAAGTCATATATGGTGCTCAAGCAGCAGGCTCAGTCTTCTCCAACGCTCCAGATATCGGAAAAGCCAAGAATGCAGCTGCTGAGCTGAAAAATCTCTTCAACCGCAAACCCTCGATTGACGTATGGTCAAAGGAAGGTAATAACATCGATAACATTGCAGGATCTATTGAATTCCGAAACGTGCACTTCAAATATCCTACACGTCCCACACAGCCCGTGCTTTCTGGTCTTAGCTTCACGGTCAAACCTGGACAGTTTGTGGCTTTAGTCGGTGCCAGCGGATGTGGGAAGAGTACAACGATTGCGCTGCTTGAGCGCTTCTACGATGCACTTTCGGGTTTTATATATGTCGACGGCAAGGATATTTCACAGCTAAATGTCAATTCTTATCGAAGTCATCTTGCTCTCGTGAGTCAAGAGCCAACGCTTTATCAAGGAACCATTCGCAGCAATATTCTCCTCGGCAGCAACGATTTGAGCGTGACGGAGGAGCAGGTGATTAAGGTTTGTAAAATGGCCAACATATATGAGTTCATTCTTTCGCTCCCGTACGTATTCCCCGCAACCCAGCCACTCTTCTTTCCCAATCGTAATTTTGCTTTTGTTGACTAGCATTACAGTGAGGGCTTGGACACACTGGTTGGTAACAAGGGTGCCATGTTATCTGGTGGACAGAAACAACGTGTCGCCATTGCCCGGGCGCTTCTTCGAAATCCAAAAATCCTTTTACTTGATGAAGCAACCTCGGCTCTTGACTCGGAGTCAGAGCGAGTGATCCAAGCAGCTTTAGATGCTGCGATGCAGGGCCGCACAACCATCGCAGTGGCTCATCGTCTCAGTACGATTCAAACGGCCGACGTCATTTACGTATTCGATCAAGGCCGTGTTGTAGAAAGTGGAACTCATCATCAGCTAATGAAACAGAAGGGTCGTTACCATGAGTTGGTGCATTTGCAAAGCATCGAAGACTCGGCGTAGGAGTGTCTTATTTAGCGCTTGCTGTAATATTTTAATGGTTCAGATACAATACCATATGTCAATCGCCTAACAAGTATGTCAATTAACACGTTATTTAAATCCATTATGATTACGTCTTGCAGCCCGAGTCAAGACGGACAATACTCAAACACGTTCTCTTATTCTGACGCCTGCGCTTTAAGGCGGCTTAGCTTAAATAAAGTTGAGATATATACCAGGCACCTAATGAGCAGCAGGTGTGTGCATGTGTACCGTTATGTGCTCTTAAACAACGAGAGACAACCAGCAGTACTGTCTACAATTTTAACCAACACGCCCCATTTCTCTATTTGCTCGTAGACTTTTTCCAACAGCATCCTGTACAATTTTTGGAAAGCTGTTTTCCGCGAGATAGTTAATGGCTTTCTCCGTGCTTCCCCCTGGAACGCAAACATCTTTCCGTAATGTATGTATAGACCTATCTGTTTCCTGCGATAGCAACCCGGAGCCCACGCAAGACTGCACGATCAAACTGCGGGCAATATCTGTCGGCAAGCCATGGGACTCTGCTGCAGCAATCATGGATTCGATAAGATAATAAAAATGTGCCGGGGCGGAACTGACAAGAGTTAGTACAGAATATATATAGGATAGCTATTTGCAAAACGTGTAGGCCCGTTTCTGTTCCAATTATGCACTTCATGACCTTTGCACATTCGGCATGTTTTGCATCTATCCATAAAGCAATAGAAATGAAAAAGTTATGCAACATACCCGGATATTGCTGCAACTACATCGAGTAGGGATTCCTGAGGAAGGACGCTGATTGCTGGTGATACCTCGCGAAAAACGGCGGCGACAAGCTCTATCCGTGAGAGTGCTGTGTCGCTTGGAAATAAAGCCGTAGCTCCTTGACGACACATAACAGGAGTATTAGGCATTGATCTTACAATTGGAGTTTCTTCGGGAAGCCAGCTCTGGAGCTGGGCTACTGAAATTCCAGGACACATTGTAACCACAGTTGGCCGTGATGTTACATCTAGAGTTTTAATGATGCTAGCCAACTCTAGGCAGACCTTTGGCACATCTATTGGAAGAGTACATATAAGAACAACATGAGAGTCGGATTGTTGTGAGGTGACCGTACTCCAAATGGTCGAGTCCAGATTATTATTCGTAACATTAGCAAGGGGAAACTTCGCTTTCAATTCGTCAATCTGCTCCTGTCGGCGAGCTGTAACTGAGATTTTACACCCATCTCTCCAGCTACTATTTGTCGAATAAATGCCACTTATGAGGGCCTGTGCAAGACATCCGCCTCCTATGAATGTGAGTTGATCAGGCGTTGACTTTCCAGGTTCCATAGCTTTCAAATTGGGCCGTGTTGACGTCTCATCCGGAGACTATTTGGATGTATTAGGCGCAAAATAGTTGAACAAAGTAATTAAGAATCTTCAAGATAATCTCAATGGTAATCTTCAGTAATGTGTGCTGACTTGATATCAAGACAAATGATTTGTAAATGAATACCCACTTTTTGGTGCTTATAGCTGTGCGTGATATACTCAATGCCACTGATGTTGCGTATTGCAGTTTCCCCATCTTTACTTCAACAAAAGAGAGATGCACTAAAAAAAGTCCTAATTTCCATATTCGATTATATACCAGCTAATAACTTGCTTATTTAATTGCGTAATAGCCTGGATTTGGCCAGAATCCTACTGTTAATGGGGGTCGTTCTAAATACTAACCATGTAAGTGTTGTATTACAGGGGTAAGGGAAGGGTATGGAATCGATGATCTAAAGCTACGCTTGCAGACATCGCCTCCGCAGCTCCCGGGCTTTAACAAAGGTTCCTCCATTGCTCGAGAGAAAAGACCGTTCAATATCCACCTCCCTAATCTATCTGTGGTTTTGTTCCGAGTAATAGCCCCGTAGTACTCGTATACGAAATCTTGGGGTAGCGTGAGTTGTCTTATTTTGTACTCCGTACTTATCGGCCAACTATAAAGACGGATCTCCACATGGAGAAGAAGAACGGCAGGGTTCCGTAAACCAAGTTCGGATCACCAACACAAGAAAGAAAAGGGAAAAACAAGTGATATTCTAGGTGGTAATGGAACTTCCAGATAACGCTTGACGATGCCCGCACCAGATGATGGCCTAGAGTCTTCACCTCTCCTACAGGTGTCTGATGAAGATACAGAGAGGAGAGAACAACAGAAAGCAGACATCTTCAAATGGAGCAAAGTGGCTATTCAAAATGCCATTTTGGCAGCAACTTTTCTCGTCCTATATGCATTCGCCGACATCTTGAGATATATATCAACAGTTCGTCTTGTCGAACTTGGCATCTGTCGTGAGCATTTTCTCCAAAGCGATCCCCAATCTGGAGAATATTATCGCAACATTCCAGAGCATCTCTGCAAGCTACCAAGCATTCAGCAGCGGCTCGCACACCTACGTGGCTATTTGGCAGCTTTGGAAGCCATTGTTGGCCTAGTCTTTACACTCCCATACGGCCTACTTGTTGACCGCCTTGGAGAGCGTCTAGTTGCTGGGATCAACGTTATAGGATATTTGCTCTCCTGCGCATGGATTATCGTGGTTTGCTACTGCTGGCAGTTTTTCCCCATATGGAGCGCCGTGCTGGCGCCATTATTCAGAATAATTGGTGGCGGATCACCGATTCTCTCATCAGTCATATACTCAATTGCAGCGAAAAGTACTCCGGATTCCAGCAGGTAAATCCCCCCACGTTCGCATTCAATTCGGGGCTATGGACACTAACTGCACCCCCAGAGCTCAGTGTTTCTTTTTTTTCATGGCTGCACAACTCCTGACCGAAATCTTATCAATCATGGTAGCGGCGCAATTACTTGACCACAATCTTCTGTTTACGCCAATGATTATAAATTTTCCGGTCGGCCTTTTATGCCTTGCCACGCTATCTATCATCCGCCCCTGCGCAACTCATCCTGCCGGTCCACTACCAAGAGATGGGTACGAGTCAGCGAGAGGATCAGCAGCAAAGGTTCTTGGGTCTATTCGAGGCAGCAGCCACGTTCTTTCGGAACTTTTGAAAGACCGTAATGTTGTTGCACTACTTGCTACAGTCCCTGTGGCCAAGCTCGTGAACCCTGTTACCGAACTAATGCTTCAGTATATTCCTAAAAGATTTGGCCTATCGCTTGCATCGGTCGGTTACAGATCCACATCCTTCCCCTTCCGTTGTCCTATTTTCTCACTGGTGCCTAGGCTAGTCGAGCGTTATCCATTCAAGCAATCGAAAGTTTGATCCTTCTCGTCGTCATTCTACCAATCCTGAAGAAAGTCTTCGAAGTCAGGCTCCATATTGTATCTGCAAAAGCGGACCTATTCATTGCTCAGTATGGTTTTTTATTCATGAGCGCAGGCTGCATCCTTATGGCGTTATCTCAATCATTGGGGGCCTTTATTTCAGGTCGGGATCTTTTACTCGCTCAACTTACTCGCCTCCAGCTAACTGTAATCTCGCAGGGCTTCTCGTATTCACACTTGGTTGCAGCACACGGCCAGCTCTACAGTCTATACTAACCGATCTAGTTAAACGTGAGCATATCTCTGTTCTTTATGCTATTATTGCGGTTTGTGATGGTATAGGATCAGCCGCTGGTGCGTTTATACTCAACCGATCCTTTGCAATTGCCATTGGGTGGGATAATAAGTTGTATCTCGGGCTGCCATTCGTTATCGGCATGGCGTGCTATATTCTTGGCTTCGTGGGATCCATGCTCGTCAGGGGTGATGCGCTCCTATGAAACCGGAATGGGTGGCTTGAGAACTGCTCTACCCAAATTCCGAGGCCATTTTCGATGAATTCTTTCAAGATGGATTCATTCTAGTAATTAGATCTTATCCTATCCTACGAAGAATGCTAGTATGTTCCTGAGATTCTCATATGCTGAAACTCGCCCGCTGTCATAAATGACACGTCTTTTGCTTTCGCTGTGTCGTGTAGCAATGGGCGTAAACTCGCCGCTCGATTGGGCTTCGCAAAATACGCAATGGAAAAGCGTTCGTCTACCGTATCTTGCATTGGTCCCGTCTGATCTTCCTGCGCTAACAAGCTAGGCAAGTGTACGCGATGCCGAGCGCTGCATAATCCGGTCCACATCTGCAGACAGTCTCCCACATTGAGTATACACTCGTAACGGCCTCCACTCTCGATATCAACAAATTCACCACTTCCGGACGGCAGTTCCATTTCTAGGGAAAACGTTAGCAGCTTCCTCATAAAGGCTAGCTGGGGCAAAGAAAGCGCATGGAAAGTGGGGGAGATTTGCGCCAACTGAGAAGCAAAATAGAACATAATTCTTACGCAATCCACCAACGTCGTCTTGGAACAATAATGTGATGGTGCCGAAATCAGTGTGAGCTGCAATGCGAGTCGAGTGGGAGAATTCGCCACGTGGTACCGCAGGATAATGCGTCAAGCGCAGTTCGTTTGACTGCTCGGAATGCAGTTGGCTTAGAGTCTGCCTGGGGAGCCCTAGGCCAACGGAAATGGCTTCAAGGATGGCTAGTTCGGCGCGGTAGCAGCTTGAAAAGAATGATGTGAAAGTGGGCTGAAATGCGTCGTGCACCCCGGATGGCGGCCATATGTTGCCATAAAGTGCATCTTGTGGTGATCCAATGTCATACGATTCCTAGTCGGGCGAATTGGTTATCAGCGTGTGAAATCTGTGAAAGTCCGGTGCTGGTCGGCAAACCTTCATATCCTTAAGCAGGGGCCTTGGTACAGACGTGCCGTGGTTTGAGACGGCAGAGACATTCTCAATGCCGAATGCACTGTAACCTCGGTGGGGGGTTGCTGTGGGAGGGTGGGGAGATTTCAGTTTCTGGTCCAAAGGCAGCTGGAAAAACTCTCGACTCTAGATAGCGAGCGGTTAGCGTACGCTTTGCATTTCGATGCACACGAGGTTGCTCAACTGTCTCAAAGGCTCCGTCGATATCTGATGGCGGAATGCCAATATTGGCCAATCTAGCAAAGCCAAACTGCTTCAAACTCGACACCAATTGACGGCAAAAGCCCTCCCGCTCAGCGGTATTGGTGCTATAAAAATTGGAGAAATCAAGCCGCTCGAACATGGTTTGATGTTCAACAATGAAGGACTATCAGATACCTCGCTCTTCCTGGTTGTTCAAAAATTACGGACCACAGTAATCAAATTATTCGTTGTAAGAAGTCGTATTTAACATGCTGTGGCTTCCAAGAGAGGCAATGTTACAATGACCCAAGTCGTGCCAGGGTGTCGGGACGGCTCGAGACTAAGGCTGCATATTCTTTGCTAGTACTTGCGGAGTAGGTCCACGATCTTTTGGAAACTCCACACATGCCAGGGTACGGGGAACCGATTTGAACTGCCCCAAGGGGTATCACACCGTGGCGAGGAACTATCCACCGTAAACAGGTTAAAATCCATCCTTGGGAGATAACATTGATACTGTTGCGGATGCGGGATATAAGCCAAAGGCGTCCTCAGTAGTTGCGTTTTGTGAGGCCCACAATGTCTCGTTTTTGCGTAAGTGAGATATTACCCTGTAGTTTGTAGAATACGAGTATATGAAAGTTCAGTCAAGATGAAATCTACCCGTTGGATCCACCCTTCGTAATCCAACTGGAAGGAAACCTTCCATTTAATCCTAAAATTCCCAAAACAGCCTAAAAATCAGCATAGTTTTTAACTAAGAAACGTACAGCTTTGATACATAAAATAAAAATAATAGACTAATACTAAAAAAAAAAAATTTAAAAAAAAAAGAAAAAGGTATATCAAGAAAACTTTAAAGAATAACTTATATATATATGTTTATTTCATTATAGGGGCTATAGTGGTTGCAAAGCTAATTTTATCTTATAAATATGGCTGGCTTTAGCTAAGTTTAGGGCGATTTTTGCAATCTTTTGCAATTTCCTCTATCCGGTATAGCCTAGGATCCCATATATATTAGAGTCACTAAGCTCCAGGGTACGGACCTCTCTCGGTCTGAACAATGACATTTACGTACGTTATCTTGTCCTCCACAGCCTTTGGCTTGTTTTTACTAATATTCGGAGAAGCTTGCAGGAAAAACGCACTATATGCCGTGATTGTTTCTACACAAACGGTTAAGCTGAAACTTGAATGCTTATTTTCGCCTGGGAACAGCTGCGCAGATAGCATAGAATTATTGTAGGGGCATTTCATTATACCTCCACCTCAGTCAATAACACTTCCAGTATGCAGCAACGGAAAACATAAGCCAAGTTACAAGATTTGATCATAATTGTACTTTCGAACATGTCCGAGACACAAGGCTTCGATAGCTCAGCCAAAGTCATGGCAGATGAACAAGTCGTCCCACCCAACTCTAAGAGTGATTCTGTGTCAGAGCAAGAGCTTGATCAGATATGGACTTGGAATGCTTCGATACCGCCTCCAGTGGAAGGTTGCGTTCACGATCTCATCAAGGAAATAGCTCGGAACCAGCCAGATGCCCTGGCAGTTTGCGCCTGGGATGGTGATTTCACCTATTCTCAATTGAACGACCTGGCTAACGAGGTCGCCCATCGTATTCTCGAGTTTGGCATCGAACCAAAGTCGAACGTACCGATCTTATGTCCCAAGTCACGATGGACTTGTATCGCAATGCTTGCTGTGATCAAAGCGGGATGTAGCGCGATAGCCCTTGATGGGACTCAGCCTGATACAAGATTGCGATCAATCGTCCACCAGACGAAATCTCGATTGATCGTTTCATCAGCTACATATGCTCCGAGGGCGGCTCTGTTGATGGATGTGCCAGTCCTTCAGCTTGACGACACATTACTAGAAGTTCAGGAACTCTCAAGAGTTCATTCATCTTCATTACCCTCCATCTCGCCATCCGATATTGTGTATATATCGTTCACGTCGTAAGTGGCTCTTGGCGTTTCTTGTCTTTTTAATTTCCCTTGGAAAACATGGACCTGGTACTTGTGTGAAGCAGGCTACAACGGCCCTCACTTCAAGTGTATCTCTAGCTTGTCGCATTGTATTATTGACACATGAGGATTATATAGAGGTACGACTGGGCAGCCCAAAGGTGCCTGTATTAGCCACTCGAATGTTAGAAGTGCAGTCCACTACCAAGGCAAGAAGCTTGGATTTCACCGAGGAGCGCGTGTGTTTGACTTTGCTCCCTATTCCTTCGATGTAGCGTGGAGCAACTTTTTGCATACGCTATGCGCAGGTGGCTGTCTCTGCATTGCTTCAGAGCCGGACATGGTGAATGATCTCTCGTCCGCCATAACTGCTTTCAAGGCGACCTTGATCAACATAACCCCGACTGTTCTGCGAACAATAAATCCGATACCGCCAACTATTGAGACGGTGCTTCTAAGTGGCGAAATGCCATATCGGGAAAACGTGACCGAATGGGCTGGACGCGTGAGGCTGCTTAATACCTATGGACCTACCGAATGCACTTTCAAATGCGCCTTCTCCGTCATCAATCCATCCCAGGAGGGTCGCCCAGATATCGGCACCGGAGTTGGTTTCTCTACCTGGCTTGTCGATCCTGACAACCACGACCAGCTTGCTACTATAGGATCAGTTGGGGAGCTGTACCTCGAGGGCCCATTAGTTGGTCAGGGCTACTTATCAGATCCTGAAAAGACAACAATGACATTTGTCAACGATCCCCCATGGTTACTGGCAGGAAGTAGTAACCGAGCCGGCCGGCGGGGTAGACTTTACAAGACTGGGGATCTTGTAAAATACAAGTCTGATGGCAGGCTGTTATTTATTGGCCGGAAGGATAACTCTCAGTTGAAAATACGAGGCCAAAGGGTCGAAATTGGTGATGTTGAGCATCACGTACGTGCTTGCCTTGACGACTCTCTTCCAATTATTGTCGACATTATTCAGCCCTTTGGAAGTGATGGCTTCTCTTTGGCTATGTTTGTCTCGACAAAAGATGTGGATACTGAACGCGTCAAAAAATTACTGGATGGTCTTGGAGACAGGTTACGAGATGTGTTACCAGGTTTCATGGTCCCCAGTATCTACCTCCCAATCGATGATATCCCTGTCGCCTCTACCGGAAAAGTTGATCGCCAGTCATTGCGACAAATGGGAAGCACTATGTCCTGGAAGAAGATTATTGCGCTGCAATCAACAATTCTTTCCATTAAAGAATATTGCGAGCCTGCTACGGACAAAGAGAAGCAGCTCAGTACGGTATGGGCAGAGGTCTTGGACTTGGACTCTGGCCTTATTAGCACAACAGACAACTTCCTTCGACTTGGAGGTGACTCTGTGGCCGCCATGCGTGCAGTTGCGAAAGCTCGAGAGTACAGATTGCCATTGACTGTTGCAGACCTTTTTATGAGCTTAACGCTGAGAGACCTGGCTCGGATGACTGAGAAGCAAGCAATCAGCCACGAAGCTGATGAGATCACGCCGTTTTCCATGCTGACTGGGACAAAGAACAAGACCGATATTTGCAAAGAGGCTGCAATCCTATGTGGTGTTGAAGTGGCCGAAATAGAAGATGTTTATCCTTGCACACCACTACAGCAAGGAATGCTCGCAATGACGAGCAGAAACGAGGGCGCGTCACGTCTTGGAGGCGAATCCCCGAAATTGAGGATGGACTACGTTTCGAGAACTGTTTTTGAACTACCCAAAGATATTGATATTGAGCGGTTACAGGCTGCATGGACAACCACCGTCACGAGCGCATCGATTCTTCGAACAAGAATCGCCGATCTATCTGGGGAAGGCCTGGTGCAGATTATTGTTGCCGACAGCCGTGTGCGGCAGCTGCAACAGTTTAAACATATCAACAGCTTTCTGGAGCTAGCACAGCCCATGGGTTTGGGGACTCCTTTATGTCGCGCAGGCGTGATACGAGGTGACTCCCCATATTTCGTTCTGGAAAGGCACCACGCCATATTTGATGGATGGTCCACAACACTTATTTTGGACTTCCTCGAGGCATCTTACCGACAGAATGGAAGAACATTGCAACCCCTTGAACCCTTCCAGCCATTTATCAAGTATGCCTTGGTAGCAGACAGCCCAGAAGCAGCAACGTTCTGGAAGTCTCAATTTGCTGACTCTGAGGCCACCATTTTCCCATCTCTTGGCTATGTGTCAGATGAAAAACTCGACATAAGTCATGAAGTCACAGATTTGGAGTGGCCACGAAGCGGTATTACACCATCGTCAGTAATACACTCAGCACTTGCATTGTTACTTGCCTCATATACAAATTCGAACGACGTCAAGTATGGAGCCACTGTAAGTGGCAGACAGGCCCCTGTCTCTGGAATATCTCGAATCGCTGGTCCTACAATTGCTACAATTCCGATACGAACGAAATTTGATTGGGATTCTACGGTGGAAACTCTGTTACAACAGGTCCAGCAGCATGCCATAGAGCTCTCTGTCCACGAACAGTTTGGCCTCCAGCGTATTCAGCGCGCTCAAGAAGAAAACGAAGAGGCTAGCCAATTCCAAACTCTCCTGGTTATTCAGCCAGCTACACAAGGGACAAGTCAGACAGATGGTGGCCTCTTTTCTCATGCAAAAACCCTCAAACTTGATCCCCCGAAAGACATATTCAAGCAAGGGACAAATGATACAGAGCGCAACAATATACTTCTTAAAACTAATGGAAGTGTGCATGAGACATCCCAGTTGCTTGGATTAGATACTGGAAGTGACTCTCAGCATACATCTACGTTCAGCCTTGTGTCTAAAGACGGACAGGACGACAGCATGGGCATATACAACTCATTTGGAATGCTGATAATCTGTCAGCTGGAGAATACTGGATTAAACTTGAAAATAAACTTCGATTCAGGCGCGATTCGGCAGGAGCAAGCCCAACTTTTTGCACATCAGCTGGAACACTTGATAAGACAGCTCTGCGGTGAACAAATGACAAGGTCACCATTGCGCAATATTGCCTCACGCAGCGAAGGAGATCTCAAGCAAATATTCAACTGGAACACAACCCTGCCAGAGGTAGCCGAGGGATTTATAACCGATTTAATTGACCAGCAAGCTGTAAACTCTCCAGATGCTATTGCTCTTTCGTCATGGGATAGAGAATTTAGCTACGGGGAGCTGGAAAATGCTTCAAACCGCTTAGCGTGCCGCCTGCAACAAGAAGGAGTTGGTCCCGGATCAATTGTCATATTAAGCTTCGAGAAATCTTCTTGGATGGCTGTCAGCATGATCTCTGCTCTGAAAATTGGTGCGGTCGTGCTACCGATGTCTTCACCGACATCGAACAAACGAGCGCAAGCTATAGTCCAAAGCCTACAACCAACAATTGCAATTGTGTCGAATTCTTCTGATGCGTATCCGTTCCGAGATCTCATCCCAACTTTTTCTATATCTGAGTTGGTGCAGTTTGGCGACGAAGAATGGCTTCGAGTACTTCCACCCCATGAGACACACTGCTCAGACCCGGCTCTCATATTATTCACCTCTGGCTCAACAGGAATACCCAAGGCTATTCTATGGAGCCACACAACCCTATCGAGCAACATTCAGGCGGCCAAAATTTCTTTCAATATCACAACTAGTAGCAGGGTATTCCAGTTTGCTGGATATGACTTCGACGTTAGCACAGTGGAAACACTTGCAACATTATCTGTTGGAGGTTGCTTGTGCATACCATCTGAGTCAGACAGGACCAATCGACTGACTGGAGCTATCAATGATGCCAAGGCTAATTGGCTATGTTTGACGCCTTCTGTATCCGAAACTCTGGTTCCCACAGGACTGCCCTCGTTGAAAACTCTCGTGTTTGCGGGTGAAAAACTGCAACGTAAGACTGCGTTTAGGTGGACAGAGCAGATCGATGAAGTATATAACTGGTATGGGCCGGCTGAAGCTTCAGTCGCAACTTCATGTTCAATTGACAAAAATACATGGAAAAATGGAATCATTGGCACGAGTAAATTTGGCGCGACTTGGCTTGTCGAGCCCAAAAATCCAAGTGTCCTAGCGGCAATTGGTACAATTGCGGAACTGTGCATCGAAGGGCCTCTTCTTGCGAGCTACACTGGCAAAGATAGCCATATGTTAAACGAGAAAGCTTTCTTTTTTCCGTCTTGGCTTCGTCGCGGTACCTATGAACCGACTACACAGAGTAGACAACTCTATCGAACTGGCGATCTGGTCAAGTATGACGTTGACGGAACTATTCTCTTTATCAGCCGAAAGCAGGACTCAGAAAGAAAGATAAGAGGCCAGAGAATAGACCTGAACGAAGTGGAAATTTATGCTCAAGCATTTTTGCTTGGAAAGCTTGACGTAACAATTGTAGCCGAAATCATTTCCCCATCGGGTAGCGGCAGCGATACTTTGGCTCTCTTCATTAGTCCCGTGGGCACTGAGGCTCATGAGGAAGGCGTTGCAAGTTTTGTCAAGCGAGCCCTGCCGGCTGAAGAGTTGGAACTCGACTTGTCAAACCATCTGCCATCATATATGGTACCAAGAGTCTATGTTTCTATCGAAAAAATCCCCATGAATCACTCTGGAAAGACTGATAGGAAGCGCCTGCGCCTTATCGGCAGCTCATTAACCCACCAACAATTGGCATCTATGCAGCCTTTACGCAAAGAAACACGGACGCCCTCTGGTGCTATGGAGACAACACTACAACAGATTTGGTCCGAAGTTATCGGCATTGACGCTGATGCGATATATGCTAACGACAGTTTTTTCCGCCTAGGAGGCGATTCCATTACAGCCATGCGCCTGGTAGCATCTGCACGTAAACAAGGATTTTTATTGACGGTTGCGGATATTTTCGAAGCGCCTCAACTTGAGAAAATGGCAGTAAAGATTCAGCACGATGTTAGCGCTCTCGATGTAGTGCGTCCGTTTTCACTTCTCGGAAGCGGCATTAGCGAGGCCGAGGGCCGTTCATTTGCGGCCAGACTGTGCTCAGTTTCGGAATCTCAAGTGATTGACATTTACCCTTGCACATCCTTACAGCAAGGTTTACTGGCTCTAGGAGCTAGAAAACATGGCCAATACGTTTCACGCAGTGTTTTAGGGCTGCAAGCCGAAGTTGACACTGAGCGACTTCAACAGGCGTGGTTGGCTACAGTGGAAAAGCTACCGATCTTGAGAACACGAATCATAGATATTCCTCGCCAAGGTTTGGTGCAAGTAATTCTCAAGGCATCTCCTTTACGATCTGGCCAAGATGTGGAAGCCTATGTCCGAGATGATGAACTGGAGCCGATGGGTTTGGGGACAGAACTCTGCCGCGCCGCCATCATTGGTCGCAATTTCATATTCACAATCCATCACTGTACTTATGATGGTGACTCATTGAAGATGATTCTAGATGAGATTGAGTCGCAGTACTTTGGAAAACCTGGATTGGCTGTTACACCGTTCCAAAACTTCATCAAGCACCTAAGCCAAGTAAGACATCAGGACGCATCTAACTTTTGGCAAAACCAGCTTGCAAATTTAGAACCTCGACAGTTTCCAGTTCTACCATGTTTGGACTATCAGCCACAGGCAAATGAAGATCTTGAACATTCAATTTCACTGAAATGGCCACATACTGGAACCACGCCGTCCACAATAATACGGTCATCTTGGGCAATTCTGGCTGCTCAATACACGTCATCAAGTGATGTGATGTTTGGACTGACAGTCAGTGGACGTCAAGCAGACCTTAAAGGCATAGAAAACTGTGTTGGACCAACCATATCAACAATACCTGTTGCGGTTTCGTTGAATTGGAGCGAGACCGTCGGAGAATTCCTTGAACAATTGCAACGCCAAATGATCGAAACAATTCCCTATGAGCAGTTTGGACTTCAAAATATCCAGAATCTATACAAGCATTTGGATTCTTCAATGATACAAACTCTGCTTGTGGTGCAGCCTGTAGCTGAAGGAAAGAGGCTGCATGAAGATAACCGGTTGTTCAAAGCTCGAAGCTTCTCGGCAAATCTCAGTACACAAGGCACCGATCCTTTCAATACATATGCTCTGATGATTATTTGCGAATTGGCATCTGATGGGCTGCGTTTGCGAATGAGTTTTGATAGCAACATCATTGATCAAGAGCAAATGCGTCGCATGGCGTATCAGTTTGAGACTATACTTGGACAAATATGCTCAGAAAATATGACGGCAGTTACACTTGATGAAATCCAGACAGTTAGCAATAACGACCTGGAATTTTTCTGGAGTAGAAATGCAGAGCTTCCTGACGCGACGAATACGTGCATTCACGATATCATCGCGGCAGTTGCAACAGCGCATCCAAATAAGATTGCCATAGATGCTTGGGACGGACAGTTTTCCTACCAAGAAGTTGAAGACCTTTCAACTACTATTTGCCAAAGACTGATGCAGCTGGGAACTGTAAAGGGTTCAGTTGTTGCACTTTGTTTTGAAAAATCTAAATGGGCTCCTGTCGCTCAAATTGCTGTTTTTAAAGCTGGGGCAGTTAGTTTGCTGCAATCCAGTGCCGTTCCTGAGCGTCGAATTGCCACCGTCTTTAAAAATGCCAATGTGAAGATCGCATTGGTCTCTGAGTCTCTCATCGAGATGATTTCTCGACACGCTAAAAGTTTGACGATCGAACAACTCTTGACAACGCCCCTTCAAGATGTACGCATGCCATTACCGATATTGGACATGAGCGATCCAGCTGCTATTCTTGTTTCATCTGGAAGCACAGGAGAACCAAAACAAATCCTCTGGAACCATAGAGCATTGTCAGGAAATGCCAAAGCTCACAGTGAATACCTGTCTATCGATGCATCTTCTCGAGTCTTCCAGTTTGCCTCATATGATTTCGACCTTGGCACTATCGAGGTCATGTCTGCGCTTGCCAGTTTAGGTTGCGTGTGTATACCATCAGAAGTCCAAAGAATGGATGGATTGTCAACCGCTATCAACAACTTGGGAGTCAATCATGTTAATGTTACCCCTTCGACGGCCAAGTATCTTCGCCCTGAAGATATGCCCAATCTAACAACCCTCGTATTCGCTGGTGAGAACCTCACTCGGCAGGACATCGATAGATGGAAGGGAAAAAGTCAAAAAATTATTAATTGGTACGGACCTGCTGAATGTTCTGTGGCGACTTTCTGCGCTGTTGACGACGAGACCTGGCGTAGCGGTGTTATTGGGCGGATTGATTCGAGGCATCCGACCCTCTGCTGGCTCATTGATCCGAGAAACTACAACAAGCTGGTACCTTTTGGTGCTGTTGGTGAAATTGCACTCGAAGGGCCCATGTGCGCTGAAGGCTACCTTGGAAATCAGACGAAAACAGACCTTGCATTCTGTAGAGATCCAAGGTTCCTGGAATTGGGGCAAGGAGTGGGTAAATCCGGTAGACCAGGCCGCATTTATCGTACTGGCGATCTGGCTAGATATGATACGAACGGCGATTTAATCTTTTTGGGTAGAAAAGACTTTCAACTCAAAATCCGAGGTCAGCTTGTTGCCCCGCAAGAGGTAGAGCATTCTATACGGCAATGCCTTGTGGGTGGAGACGAAGTTCAAGTGGTGGTAGATGCTGTCGTGCCTAAACATAGTGGCAACCTTACTCTTGTTGCATTTGTCAACTTGGCTACTCAAGATGCAGTGGAGAGTCTAATAGCAGGATTGAACGAAAAGCTTAGAACTGTTCTACCCCGATATGCCATTCCATCTTACTACATACCCATTCCATCCATTCCGACGACGCAAACAGGAAAGAGAGATCGAGCTCGATTACTGGAAATTGGGTCTGACTTCAACCCCCCACGTCAAGAATCTGAAGGAAAGAAGCTACAACCATCGACTACTACCGAGATCAAACTGAGAGAACTGTGGTCTCTTGTCCTTGGGATAGATCCTTCTGAGATCTCGGCAAACGATAGCTTTCTGAGAATGGGGGATTCTATACAGGCGATGCGATTGGTTGGACTAGCACGACAGCAGAATTTACGTCTATCAGTGGCTGAGATCTTCCAGCATCCTATATTGCTAGATATGGCAAAACAACTTCGGCATATGGACGAGGAGAAAGATGCGGTTTCCATCGGCCCATATACGCTGCTTCATTCAACGCAGCCGGTAGAGCTTCTACGTCAACAGGCAGCATCCATGTGTGACATTGCCTATGATGACGTTGAAGACTTATTTCCTTGCACGCCGTTGCAAGAAGGACTATTAGCCCTGACTATAAAACGTGAAGGCGATTACACCGGTCGCAATATTTTGAAGATCAACCCATCGGTCGATATCGCGCGATTTAGAAGAGCGTGGGAGAAGGTGGTTTCTACGTTGCCTATCCTGCGAACACGGATTGTGGATCTTCCAGAGCAAGGCTTATTGCAAGTCGTTATCCGCGAACACAGCTATTGGATTGAGGCGGATGATATCAACGAGTATCTCACAAGGGAGAGACAACTAAATATGGGACTTGGGTCCCCCCTCATGCGATATGGGCTCGTTTCGAAAAGTCCTAGCCAAGAACGAGCGCGTTCAGGCGACAGCGAGAAGGAATGTTCCTCTTCGCTCTATTTTGTATTGACTATGCACCATTCCATCTACGATGGCCTAACCACGCCATTAATATTCGAAATGTTGGAAAATTTCTACAACGGCAAAACACCATTAACGCACTCTAATCTCCAGTCATTTGTCAAATATATGGGAAACATAGACAGAAAGGCTCAAATTAACTTCTGGAAAGCTCAGTTCAAGGATTTGGAGGCTGTACAATTCCCTACCCTACCATCCCCAACATATCAACCACAGACGAATTCCATTTTAGAGCGGTCTATTAGAGATATCACTTGGCGGACGGACAATATCACTCCGTCGACAGTGATACGCTCCGCATTCGCACTACTATGCTCGCAGTATTCCAATTCAACGGATGTTGTATTTGGGACAGTGGTAGATGGGCGCAAGGCTTCAGTTGAAGGTATTGAGAGACTAGTAGGCCCTACCATTGCTACTGTGCCAATCAGAACCAAAATCCCCAAAGAAATAACTGTCGCGAAACTCCTCAATGCAATGCAGCATCAAGCGACCGATATGATTCCATACGAACAAATGGGGCTATCGGCAATACGCTTGATCAGCGATGAAGCGCAACAAGCGTGTCAATTCCAAGCGTTTTTAGTCATCCAACCGCAGGAGCAAAATACGAAGGAAAATGATCTTTTTAATTCGGCATCTACACAGGTCGACTCTGAGGTTGAATCTCGTCGTTACCATGGGTTTAACTCATATGCATTCTCCTTGATTTCTACTTTAGTTGAGAATGAACTAAAATTGGAATTCTGCTTCGATTCGACTGTTATCGAGAATGAAGCGGTCCAACGAATGGCAACAACCTTTGACCAATTGCTGAGAAATCTTTGTTCGCATGGTCTAGACGATTCATCTGTTGAAGATATCACTATGGCAAGTGATCAGGACCTCAACGAGATTTGGAAATGGAACTCTGATCAACCGGAGAGCATTGAACGATGTATCCATCATCTTGTTGGAGAGGTTGCCCAAATCCAACCTGATGCTTTAGCAATTTCTGCTTGGGATGGAGACTTGAGCTACAAGCTCTTGGATCGCTTAGCTAACGCAGTTGCCTACAAGTTGGTTGAAATCGGTGTTAAGCGGAATATGATCATTCCAATTTGTTCTGAGAAGTCAAAATTTGCCATCATAGCGTTTCTTGGTGTTATTAAGGCGGGAGGCGCCGCCCTTCTATTGGATCCCACTCTACCCACCTTACGGCTCAAGTCAATCATCGACCAAGTCAATCCATTGTTGATTCTGACCTCTGCCTTACAAGAATCACTGAGCTCTACTTGGAGCACAAGAACCTTGGTCGTGAGCGACAGTTCAGACTTTATTCAATCTTCCATGGTCAAGGAAGCAGGCCGTGCTACTAAAGAGTTGCCATATGTTGACCCTTCTGATCTATTGTACGCAATTTTTACAAGTGGAAGTACAGGAACGCCCAAAGGCTGTCTCATGCAGCACCGAAACTTTAGCAGCGCGGTATTACATCAACGAAGCGTTCTAAAGCTCCATAATCGCTCACGAATGTATGATTTCTCATCCTATGCGTTCGATGCATCTTACTGGAGCGCCTTTCATGTTCTCACTGCCGGGGGCACTCTATGTATCCCAAGTGATGCAGAAAGAAAGAATGATCTGACGGAGAGCATTCGGAGGTTTTGCGCCACAGACATCTTTCTCACTCCTTCTACGGCACGTCTAATAGACTCTTCACTAACACCGACGTTGCGCAATGTTCATCTTGGTGGCGAAGAGGTTACAAAGGACGACGTTGCTCGGTGGTTGCCGTATGCAAACACTTTTGTATCTTACGGACCAGCTGAATGCTCTGCGGGAACACTATACTATAACGTGCCAAATATAATGCCATCGCGACTAGCTATAGGCAAGCCCGTAGGCGTCTCTGCTTGGGTTGTGGATCCTGAAAACAGTGACCGCTTATTACCGATCGAGTCTGTGGGAGAACTGTGTTTGGAGGGAGCATTGGTTGGCAAAGGCTATCTGGAAGACAAAGAAAATACACAACGATCATTTATTGAAAATCCACGATGGCTACTAAATGGTAGTCCTGACGGTTCTATACCCGGACGGAGAGGTCGACTTTACAAAACAGGAGATCTCGTAAAATACAACTCCATTGACGGAACATTCATATTCGTTGGAAGAAAAGATACGCAAGTTAAGCTCCGAGGACAAAGAATCGAGCTCTCTGAAGTTGAGCACCATGTCCGAAGCTGTTTGCTTTCAAGGCTGGAAGTTCAGACAGCAGTCGCAGAGATTATTACTCCAAAGATTACGGGAAGATCAGCGCTAGTTGTATTTCTCCAGCTTCAAAAGACTAATGACGTCAACATACGAGATGTTATGGATGATGTTGAGTACGAGTTGCGTCAACGACTTCCATCTTACATGATCCCGACAGCCTTTATACCGCTGGAAAATATTCCCCTTGGGATGAGTGGTAAAACGGATCGGAAACATCTGCGCCAGTTGGGGAGCTGTATTACCCTAGAACAATTAGCCGGCCCAGGGAATTCCTCAGATGGCAAATCACAGCTAACCCAGTCGGAATCTCATCTTCAACAACTGTGGGTGGCTGTTCTAGAAGTTCCAGCGGACAAAATTGGAAAAAACGGTAGTTTTTTGAGACTTGGGGGAGATTCGATATCGGCTATGAGGTTAACCGCTGTGGCTCATAGTCAGGGAGTCAATCTAACAGTGCAAAACATCTTGGGGGCAGCGCGGTTGTCTGAAATGGCAAAACTTATGACATACTTTGAATCAGAGAGCCCTGAGGCGAGCGATAACGTGATTTCACCGTTTTCGTTACTCAAAAATCCAGGCTCAAAAGACCAAGCTTTTGGATACATATCGAGACAGTGTGGAGTCGACATTTCACAGATCGAGGACATATTTCCTTGTACCGGAGTACAAAAGTCTCTTCTCTCAATGACGGCAAAATCCGAAAACTCATATACAGCCAGATTTTCTTTGCGGCTACGCGATGATGTCGACATAGAGCGTCTCCGGAATGCTTGGGAAAGAGTGAGTCGGGCTGTAGCACCTATTCTGCGCTACAGAATAGTCGACGTTCCATCGGAAGGCCTTGTTCAAGTGCAGATAAAGGAGTCTATCGATTGGAAAACCTATGGAAGTGTTGAGGCATATCTTGAGCAAGATCAAAGGGAATCAATGGGGTTGAACAAACGCCTTACTCGACTCGCAATTATCCAAGGCCCCAGTGTTCAAGGGCGGCTTTGTCTCATCACTCAGCATCATGCGATTTATGATGGTTACTCATTGAATCTACTTTTGGCAGAAGTAACAAGAGTATACGCCGGTAATGTAGGCGAGGGTCTCATTGCTCCCTTTCAACAGTTCATCCAGCACATCATGAAGGTTGATCAGGATGAAGCAAGAAAATTCTGGAGTAATGAATTTTCAGAGTTGGAGGCGATCCCATTTCCAGCCCTGCCGCATCAAAACCATCAACCTAAAGCCGACAGCACTGTTCGACGTCATCTAAAAGAGATTAACTGGCAGAACACAGACGCCACGGCTTCAACAAGTAAGTGCTCAACGACGGAGCCATCAGTACTCATGACATTGGTTACTGTATTTACTAATTTGGGTATCTCACAGTTATTAGAACAGCTTGGTCGATTCTCACAGCTCGCTACATGGATTCGAACGATGTGATTTTTGGAGCAATGGTCACTGGACGACAAGCGCCTTTAGTTGGCCTCGATCGCATGATCGCCCCTCTTATTAATGCCGTCCCTGTGAGAGTCAAAATAGACCCAAAAGCGACCGTGGATAGGTTGCTACAAAATGTTCAAGCACAAGCAATTGCAATGATTCCCTATGAGCAGACCGAATTGCTCGATATTCGACGAATCAACACAGATGCAGAGAGTGCAAGTCGATTCAACACCTTATTAGTTGTACAGCCTCCAAGCCAAACTGAATATGCGGATGGAGGCAGTAGTCCATTCCAGCATCAACCTGAGGTGGTTTCTACTCAGGACGGTCTTGACGACTTTAATCCAAATGCGGTTATGATGATGTGCCAGTTGGCCAAGCCCAACGATCTCGAGCTGGAAATTAGCTTCGACTCCAACATCATTGATTCGGCTCAAATGGAGCGCATCGCCAATCAGTTTGAGCACGTTTTGCGCCAGATTTGCAACTCGACTACTCAAGCGGTAGAAGATATCGATCTACTCAGTCCACAAGACATTAAGGAACTCTGGGATTGGAATGGCTCAGTGCCCACCGCAGTCCAAGAGTGTGTGCACGATATAATTGGGAACACAATGAAAAGACAGCCCCAAGCAATGGCAGTATGTTCTTGGGATGGAAGCTTGACATATGCTGAGCTAGATGATCTGTCATATCGTCTGGCTTCTCACTTGGTCGCTCTAGGTGTTCAGCCTGGAAGTATAGTTCCTCTCTGCTTCGAAAAATCAGTGTGGTATCCTGTTGCTGCTCTTGGCGCAATGCGGGCTGGAGGGACATGCATCGCCATGGACTCGACTCAACCAGAATCGAGACTGAGATCAATTGTCCAACAGGTAAACCCTAAACTGATTCTGTCTTCTGTTAACAATGAAGCGTTGGCAAGCCGCCTCTCCGATACTGCTGTGGTCGGTATTGACCGTAGCCGCATTCCAGAAGCTCCCACGGACTTCATGCTGCCCAAGATTAGCCCTTCGGACCTATTATACGGTACGTCCCATTCGATTCTATCTTCATTTGACAAGTCATTATGCTGACGTTAGTACACTGAGTAGTTGTATTCACAAGCGGATCCACAGGCGTGCCTAAAGGTATATTGACGACACATGAAAACTTTGCATCAGCAGCTACCCACCAAATGGATATCCTGCATATACATGAAGGAACCCGTGTCTTTGACTTTGTATCATACAGTTTTGATGTTTCCTGGTCCAACCACTTACAGACATTGATATGTGGAGGTTGTCTATGTATCCCATCAGAGTGGGAGCGCAAAAACGACATCGCCGGCGCGTTCAATAGGATGAAGTGTGATTATGTGTATTTTACGCCTTCGGTTGCCCGATCCCAGGACCCATCCTCGATGCCTGGCATCAGGACTTTGGCAATGGGCGGCGAGCCCATTCAGGCATCTGAGATCTCTCGCTGGACTCAGGCGGAAACTGTTATAGGAATTTATGGGCCAGCCGAATGCGCTCAAGCACTATCCTTTGCATACCTGGACTCCAAAACACGGAACAATCACGTCGGAAATCCGTTTGGTGCAAGGACTTGGCTCGTACAACCAGGTCGCCCAGACCGCCTTGCCGCTATCGGCACCGTTGGAGAGCTCATGATTGAAGGGCCAACCGTTAGCAAAGGATATTTTGGCGATACAAATAAGACGAAAGCAGCCTATATTCAGGATCCGACGTGGCTCCTGCTAGGCGCCGGGGAACATCCAGGGCGTCACGGTACACTTTACAAGACCGGCGATCTCCTACGCTACAACTCGGATGGATCCATGGACTTTTTGGGGCGGAAAGACGGTCTAATTAAGCTTCGAGGTCAACGGATTGAGCTGGCGGAAGTGGAACATCATGTGCGCTCCTGTATAGGCGATCACAGCTTGTGCGATGGCATCGCCGCGGAGATTATTGTGCCACAAAATAGCACCAACCCAATTCTCGCCGTTTTCTTGAGCCTTTGTAAAGAAAATACAATCCAACTCAAGGAAGTTGTACAGTTAAAACTCAGACGAGTCATGGAAGGGTTGGAAGAGAAGCTATGGGATCGTGTTCCGCAGTAGTAAGTAATTTTTTTTGGCTATCTAATATGAGTGTATGGGAAATTGCTGACTTTATTCCGTATAGTATGGTCCCTGGAGCATATATACTTGTAGAAAAGATTCCCATGACAACCACAAACAAAACAGATCGGCGGTCTCTACGAGAACTTGGAAGTAGGCGAACCCTAGAGCAGCTCGTGGAACTACAATCTCATGGGAAACCGCGAACCGTGCCATCCACTCTGATGGAAAAAAGGCTTCAGACCTTGTGGTCTTCTGTTCTTCGGATCAATGCTGAAAGTATTGGTGCTGAGAGTAGCTTTCTCCGCGTTGGCGGAGAGTCAATTACCGCTATGCGACTAGTCTCAGCAGCGCGGGAGCAAAACTTATCGCTGACTGTTGCAGACATTTTCAAATCACCGCGTTTGTCTGAATTGGCATTATTGGTCAAAGAAGTCAATGCCGATGAATATTCCCATTTGGCAACGCCATTCTCCTTTTTGGGATCTGATGACGCGCAAGGCTTCCTGAAGGAATTTGTAAAGCCTGCTCTAGATGTTGATCTCGAAGCTGTCAGGGACGTGATTCCCGCAACAGATTTTCAAGAACGCTCAATATTAGATGCACTTCAGGATCCGCCGAACAGATATCCTCACTGGATTTTTGATCTGCCTGCTGATGTGGATTTCCCAAAGCTTGAGCGCGCTTGCTTTGACCTAGTGAATCATTTCGACATTCTGCACACTGTCTTCATCCGAGCTAATGGTCGTTTTTGGCAAGTTTTATTATCGAACTTCAAGCCAACATACGATCATGTAGATGCAGACAACCAGGACATGGCCTTGTTTATAGATTCAATCTGCGGGGAAGATCTCAAAAGACCTCGACAATTGGGTCGTTCATTCGTTCGTTTCATCAGCGTCAAACACGCCTCAGGAAAGCATAAGTTTGTATTCAGAATCTCGCATGCTCAATTTGACGGCTTCAGCTGGGGATTGGTTCTTCAAACTTTGTCGACTCTCTATAATCAGCAACGGCTATTGCCATCTTCATCTTTTGCCCAATTCATTTCCTTCAATGAGAGGAAGAAGAGAGAAAGCAAGTCTTACTGGGCTTCAAGGCTTCATGGATCATTATATCCAGCATGGAGTTTGAGCGACTCAACAAATGACACATACGCCACAGATGACAGATTGACAATCAAGAAGACAATTCCAATGCTAAACACTCGGAGCATTGGAGGGTTTACGCCTGCGGTGATATTCCATGCTGCGTGCGCAATCGCCCTTTCTCGTCAATTTAATCAACAGGATGTGGTGTTTGGTCGCCTTGTGACCGGCCGTTCAATGCTGCCAAGTCATCTCCAAAACGTTGTGGGCCCCTGCATGACAGAGGTCCCGATCCGAGTGGGTATAACTACAAACAGCACTCTCGCCGAAGTTGCTTCGCAGCTACAAAGCCAATTCATTGAAGATTCGTCACATGAAGCTGCGGGGATGGTCGAGATTATAAGAAACTGCACAGACTGGCCACAAAATATAACGGATTTCGGCTGGCGAACATCCTTCCAGCAGGAAGAGGAAACTGAGTTTCCATTCTTGGGGTCACCTAGCACTGTTTCATTTTATGAACGACCCTTACTTCCTCGCAATCGTCCTGAGATATACGCCACGCCCCGAGAAGGAAGCCTTGATCTCGAATTTGAAGGGAATCGGAAACTTACATCCGAAAGTACAGTGATAAAACTTTTAGCAGAGCTTCAATCTATATTAGGGGTGTAGGGATAGCTATACATATAATAATAATAATACTATTCTATCGTACTATTCCATATTGAGTTATGAGATAACACAGAAAAGAGTGCGACAAGGGATAGAACAATGAGCATTCCGCAACGATACAGAGCAAAAAGGAACCATCTAGTCCTCGGATTCACCGTCGTCTGCTGACTTGCTCGGAACACAGCATGTCACTCCGCGCCTTTCCAAATCTTCGTTATATGCTTGAATTTTGGCTCTATCCTCTTCTGTAAACTTCCTGGGAATATTCTCCTCATCGGGGTGGAACATATCCCAATGGGATATGTTGCGGCCGTCGGCGGTGAGCAATCTCTCGGGCATCGGTCGACCATCGTAATATTCTCTGCTCTGGGTTGGGTTGAGGCCAACTGCATCAAGAATATTCCGTTCGTTGTCAAAAGTGCGAAGCACACCATCGTAGCCCAATGAACTTATGCCATGTCCGTCTGGATCTTTCTTCATCGATCTTTGTATGTCGCGCAGAGACATGTTGTCGCCCACAGGCTGTCGGTCTGCGACGGTTTGGGGCATGATCGGGTCCTATATTTGGATCATTGAATAGTTAGCATACAGACAAATGAGAGAGTTCGAGGAGTACTTGCTGACAATTTGTCCGCCTATCGCCAGCGAGTTGATGCAAGTAATGAAGGCGCGGACTCGTGAAGATTTCGAGGGGTATGGTATGTCCTTTCTTAATATATATGTCCAGGAAAAGGCAACGATGTGACGACCAACAAGCAAAGTCGATTGTTTGGGCCAGGGTCATGCGCACCCCATTTGGATGACATTAGGCACCAGGATGACTCAGTAGGAAGAGAACTCTGCCAAGACTAAGGAGAGATGTGCAGCACACATAGAGAGCTGCACAGCGCATTCATGAGGCGTGCAGTACAACTCAGAAAGATGACAGCACTTGACGAAGGATCAAAGATGAAGGATGAAGGATGAAGGATGAAGGATGAAGGATGAAGGATGAAGGAGTATATGATTCAGATAGTTCCATTGAACAGACAGCCTTTAATTTCATACTTCAGCGACCAATCTAAATATTATTCTCTCCAATCACTTGAACTAGTCACTCAATTGACGAGAGTGGTATCTCTCTTTAGAGATACGGTAACCTCAGAGAGAGAACGATATTCGACAGTTGTGATATTGCGTGAGCTTTACCTACTTCCCAGAACAGTAATGTTGAAGCCCTGTTCTTTAGTTGATCCCAGGGGCGGAATCATGACATTATCCTGCCAAAGTGACGGTTAAATATAACCATAAATCACAGGAATCGTTAATCGTTATACTATTTTATGCCAGACGTAGCCACTCCAACCAACATACAGTTGCTTTGACAGGGATTGTTGCGCCGCTCTGCAAAGACACAGCCACTCTGACCAACATGTAGTTACTTTGGTAGGGATTGTTATACTGTTTTGTGCGAGACATAGTCACTTTAACCAACCTTACTTTACTAAAACGCTACCTTCAGTGTTGGCCCTTTCTTATACGCAAGCTGAGTGGGGCAGTACAACTGCACGGGACCCTTAGTCAGCAAAAGCCCGCTGTAAGATCGCTATAATAACCGCTGTAATAACCGCCATTGTAGCGCGGGAGCAATCTAGTCCGGAACGACCGTAGGGAGTGAAGGTGTTACTAGATTGTCGACTAGAGCGGTCTCTCAACCGGAATCCTCATCTGCAGCGGTAAGTTTTAGACCTAATAATATCATAGATGTGTGTAGCCAAATAAATTAGATGCTATTTATCCTCATCTACAGCGTGTATCTTTGTTGTTATAGCGGGCTTTTGCTAACTAAGGGTCCGTGCAGTTGTACGGCCCCGTGCGCCTACCGGGCGCCAATATCTATCTACGGAGGCACCGATCAAAAGAGATGTCCTGAGGGTATAAGCAACCTAGCTGTATTAGGCCTAGCAGCCGGGATCCTTGCTAGTGTTAGGTATTAAAAAAACCGGCCCAATGAGGCTAACGCTACCTATTTCAATAGGCTTTTTAAAGTTATAGCTGCTATTGTAATTTAAATTAATTAAAAAATAAACTACGAAAGGATCAATAAGGTTATTAGAGCTGCTATTCTAGTCCTAAAGGTTATAATAGACTGGTCTTTAATAGAGATATTAGCTATTTTAGGTCCTTTAATCTGTTAGATTAATTAAATTTACAGCTGGGCTATTAAGGCTGGCTTTAATCTATTAGCCCGGCTGTTATAGATAATTAATACTTTTATATTAGTGTCAGAGAACTGGGCACAAAGAGGAGAGTGATAAAGTCAAAGACGGGAATAATCTGTATTCTAGCCACTTACTAGCAGCTAGGTATCTAATAATAACTGTATTTATCTCTGAACCTTCTAAAACAAAGAGGGAATCCTCTTCTTTTATAGACTTTTTTCAAGCCACAAGGCTATAGCTTAAACTTTGACGCTTCTTTACATTGTGAAAGCTTCTAGGCACCTGATAATTAGACTGGCTAAAGACTAGAAGATTGAAAAAATAGACTGATGAAGTAAAATAAGCTATTATAGTAAAGGTCCATTGTAATCATTATAGCTAGGAAAAGTTATATATTATTATAGTTAGAGAAATGGCTAAAGAAGGTTATTTAGTATTAGCTATAATAGTCTAAAGGGTACTAAAGGAAGCTAGGTTTTAGAAGACTAAGCTAATTAAAAAGCCTAGTTTAATAAATATAATAAAGAAAGCCTGGTTTAACTAGTACCTAGCCTATAAGTATTAGACCTTAGAAGACTAGAAGAAGGTTATTTAGTTTAATAAAACAGCTATTATATTACTATACTACTGCAGTAGCTATTATATTTAGCATTAGGCTAATAAAAGGTTTATTTAAAGCTGTATTTAAAAGTGTTAAAAGGGGTTATTTAAGTTTATATTCTAAGGTTATTATTTATATAATTAAAAAAGGCTTTATTATTACTAAAAGCCTAAGATTACTTAAGAAAGGAAGGAAGTTTTAAAGGAAATTAAAGAATTAAATTAGTAGCTTAAAGGTTTAATGAAAAAAAGTAGAAATTTATAAGTAGTATAAGATATTTATAGATTTAATAAAACTAGACCCTAGGTAGTGTCAGAGCCCATCTAAAGAGGGCGCGGTCGCGCAACGGCCGCGCACCGGCCACGTTACGGGGGCGCGAGCTAAGGGTTGCGAAGCCCTTAGCTTAGCAACAACACTATAAAAGACCTAAAATCTAGGGAAGGAGTTAAGGAAGGCAGAGATAAATACAGTCACTTCGCTACCCTAAGCTTGCGTATTCGCTGTGTAGCTACCTGTGATCATCCCTTATCCCTCTTCACTCTCTTCCACGAACCCGGCTTCTGACAGGTTTATCTCTCTACCCATAAAGGGCGAAGGGACCG